CAAGTAGCTGAAAACCTTCCTAGCCCAACGCTCCTCCATCATTTCTCTCAATCTGTTCTCAAATTTTATCTTGCTGCTAGCTTCCTTGCACTCAAATGATGTCCATCCCATATCACCATGTACTCCCTATAATTTGGTGCATTCCCGTGAGCTCCTAAAGCAAGCCTACCTATTCCACGTTAGGTTTATTTCTAATCTTGCCTTGAACTTCTGATCTCATGCACAAGACCGCATCGCCTAACGTCAGACCAGGAACCATGACCCCTTTCCATATTCTTCTCGCAACATTATACCTATTGTAATTCCACAGTGCCGTGTTTTTCATTACCGCTGCATTCCTGTTACCTTTAGTCGACACGTATATTTCATGTTCCCTTAGGTCTACTCGGTCCAATTGCTTATCCATATGCCCAGATATTTGTACTTATCTGTTATCTCTAGCGTGACCTCCTGTATTCTAAGCTCACTATCTTCGTTATCATTAAAAATCATGACTGCTGATTTTTCCTTACCGAATCTAAAATCTAACCTATCTCCCGCATTACCGCAGATGTCGATAAATCTCTGCAAATCTTGCTTGTTGTCGGCCATTAGCACTATATCATCTGCCTACATTAATGCTGGTAGTGCCAGTTCAATGAGTTTTCCTTGCTTGACTAAGAGAGGTTGAAGCCAAGTCACCTTCCCTCTAATTTGTCCTTTAATTCCTTTAGGTACATCATGAATAACAGGGGTGACAGTGGACATCTCTGCCTAAGTCCCTGTTTCACCTCTGTGGCCGTGGATACCTGTTTTTCCCACTTTGTAACTACCTTGTTACTTTTATAGATTTCATTTAAAAGATTAATGGCTCCATCTTCCACACCCAGTGTGTCTAGTATTCCCCACAAGTCCTCTTGAACCACGCTATCATACAATCCCTTGATATCCAGAAATGCTAGCCACGGGGGCCTGTGTTCCTTTTCTGCTATTTCGATGCACTGCGTCAGTGAGAACAGATTGTCTTCCAACTTCCTGTGTTTCCGAAACCCATTCTGCAGTTCCCCCAGCACCCCCTCATCCTCTATCCATGCCTGCAGTCTTTCCTTTATAATCTGCATCGCCAGCCTGTAGACCACTGATGTCACTGTTATGGGACGGTAGATGTTTATGTCAGCTTTGTCCCCCTTTCCTTTATAGATCATGCTCATCCTGCTAAGTTTCCATCTATCGGGAACTTCACCATCGATTATTAGTTTGCTCGCTGCCTCTCTCAAAGCCTGCTTAGGCTTCGGACCTAATGTCCTTATCAGCATAATTGGAATGCCATCTGGGCCCGTTGATGTACTACTAGGAACCCTTTTCTCATCTCTTTCCCACTCTCGTTGTGAAAATGGAGCCATTGCACCACTTGATTCGTCATTGTCTATTACGGTGCATAGAGCACTTCTTTGTTGAAATTTTTCTGTCAACCTTGTTCTTATATATTCAATGGCTTCGTCCCCTTCTAGCCTAGCACCTTGGGCTGTAGTTATAAACCTCTGCTCTAGGCTCGTCTCATAATAGTGCCGGTCGCGAGCGCCACTGCGAGGCTTCTGCTCAAAACTGAAGGTAGGACGACTCCGCTGGCAACATGAGCCATTCGTCAGGCATCTTAAAGAACGAAGCGTTGCAACTGGTAGGTGTGCTGTGGCGTTGCCCGGATACATTGGCCCGTATTCACAAACGCTCCTCCACTCGACCCTTCACTCGAAACGCTCCTTAAGTGGCGTTTTCCCATTCACAAACCGCCCTTCACTTGAGAAAATCTTGAGCATTTCCTCGAGATTGTCAAGGAAGCGATTGAGCTGCCTTGAATCATCCCTCGAGTGAAATATTTGCGCCAGCATCGCGTCCATGGCAGAGCCCGTCTCGCTTTGACGGCGTTGATCGATTAATTTGGCTGCCACCGCCGCGTTCTTTTGACAATGACGGTGCGCGTTTACTACGGAGCTGTCTTCGAACGGTTCAGCAACGGCTACTGTGGCGCCGGGACAAGCGGGCGTGGTGTCAAGAGGAGCACTCACCAGTGCCGTGATGTGTTGCGTTCCGTGCATGAGCCAGTGGATTACCTGCCTTCGGGTGTGCGTATACTCCTCGTGCGAGTGCTCCATGACTTACTGCGGATTCCAGTGCTTTGAAGTGTTTTGATGAAGCTCGCACACCGCATCAGTTCAAGCGTGGTGCGAAAGCTTGACAAGCAAGCGGCATAGCAAACTTTTGATGCGTTGGGTTCACCGTACTTTAGAATGGCTTCCTCTCCGGTGAACCTTTGCTGCCCTAGCCGAAATTTACGACAAAGCACACCTCCGTTAGACGACCATCTGTACCAATGAGAAGGTAAGTTCTCCTGTGTTTTTTTTTTTCCTGCTTCGATGAGATTACTATTTAAGACAGTTTAGGAAAAGCACAACACAATACATTGGGCGCAATGAGTGTGCTGCTGTAGCTACTACGCGTGAAACATAGCTTCTTTATGCAGTGTCTATGCAGCTCACAATACCAATGAACAACCACGTACACATTTAGGGGATCAAGCAGATGCTCATGCTCTGTGAAACCTGCATGTACGCAAACGTGCATCGAGTGTCGTATGAAAATGCAAACATATGAAATATAAATACAGCAGATACATAATGAGATTGTTTTTTTTTTAATTTAACCCCATTCCTACCCCCCGAAGAAGAATTGCTGGCTATGGCACTGATTCGTGCAATTAGATAATGAAATTATATACCCATATGCCTGGTCAGCTGCCCAAGTGCCTGAGCCAAACATGTGTCAAAATAGTCAAAGCTCAATACTTCAACCATGTCTGTTCTTTAACGCGAGACATACTAATGAATGTGTGCACCGCTAGAATTAAAGAAAAATGTGGCTTTTGTGTCCAAGCTATTACGTTTTTCTAATACTATTTCTTGCCTCTTTTGTGCAGGGGACCAGCTGCCGACAGAAGAACACAGAGAAAAGGCCTCCTAAAATCTGCCGTATTATCAATGCATTGCAGAGTTTGCACGACTGTATACAAAAGCACAAAAACAGCAGTGAATGCGTGCAGCTACACTGCACTAGGCGCGCTATGGTGTCTTCTTCCTTAATCTTATTTATGATGTCCTCCGAGCTCGTACTTCATCTTTACAGTGTGTAGGTTGCATATGTTTGATTGAGAAACACTTTTCATTTGCATTCTTATGTTTGCCACGTTGCTCCTCATCAGCCACATGTAATAAAGGTCCATTTGCCATTCACAACTTCTGTTTTGTTCATTTATCAATACATAATTATCGTCGTGTTTGTCTTTTCATGATGAGACAGGACTGCGAAAACCACTTCTCCGATTCTACAGGAAAGCAGTTCTATGAAAATTAAACTTGTTTTATATAAAGCAGCACCACTCCTCTTCCACGGAACTGAGATGGCGTGGTTCTAACTGGTAGACTTGCTAATGATGCAGCAATAGCGGATATTTTATTTACAGGGTTCTGACCAGATGTATCCGCGATGACGGCAATACTCTTGAGCATTTCTCTCCACTTTGTTGCACTGGTCTTCAATAAATCAGCAGAATAATATACGCTTCTCTTGACGACACTTTCTCGAAGGTTGAGAGAACCCACAGGATAGTTTTTAGAACAGAACAGCGCCAAAAGTCAGACGCGGCTTCAATTTTATGATTTCCAAAAAAATAAAACATCCCCTATAATTTATGTTGTGCCGGGGCTTTGGAATGCAGCACAGACACCACGATCCTTTTCAACAGGTATTTCCAGAAGTTATATTGCAAATAAAATCCAAAACATTAGTGCGAAGGTCATTCATGCACTAACGATTGTGCTTCTGAGCATGCAGATGAAGGATACGAAAAAAAAGTTGCCGCTGTGTGAACTTGGAGACGGAAACTACACAAATTTAAAGGTTACGTCTATGCGAATATGTCAAATTAGACGCATCCACAAATGCAGGGAAATAGAAAAACAATGCCAAAACAATAACTCATTCCTTGGAAGTTTAAAATGTTAAAGTTGACACACACACACACGCGCACACACACACACACACACACACCAGTCCCTGTTAACCGACTATATTTGTTGCTAAATCAAGAAAACAACTTTAAAATGTATTTTTCGCCAATAGTGAAAGAAAGGCACACGATCGCTTTTCTTAACTTGCGTAGCAGTCTAATTCGAACGCTCAGCCACGAGTATAACATGCCTAGTTTCTAACGCTACCCTGGTATAACCTTGAATATCAGTTGCGAGCAATGTCTTTCAAATTTTCTATTATACGCAGAGGAATAACTATGAAAGCACCACGGTGTAAATTCGCAGTAAATGAGAAAAATAAACATTGCACAGGCCCCTGAAATTAGGAACTGTGCACGTACTCCATTAGCGAGAACGAATATACGTACGAGTAATCCTTATACATAATGCGGTGGCGAATGCTAAAAGCACGCCAATATAATGTGATATATAGTAAAAAAATACTCATTCCACCGCGTTATACATTCGGTGGCTACATTAGTGATCAGAAGGCTCTCAGTAAAGCGAAAGTAAACAAAGCAACAAACCATCTATTGCGCTTCCTGTGATCACTCACTTAGTTCGTTAGTCACCCCGGCGAAAGTAGGCTCTCAAACGACACACACGCAAACACTACCGTAAATATAAACTGCAATTAATAGACGCATACAAGACAAAATAAACTAAGCAGGTAGACACGTTCAGCAGCAGACGAAATGCCATCAACTGTTCGTTCAGCTGCTTGGGTGCGACTGTTGCCAGACTTGAAGCAGGGTTTCGCTAACTTTATCAACACAAGGCTTAAAAAAACAACACTACCACTCTAAATGCACGTATTCTGCTGTAATCTCAATTTAAAAAAAATAATTAGAAAAAATGTTCTCTTATTTTACAGAGATAGGCAATTCTTAACCACAATTGCGAATACTCTCGTTATCAGGCGCTTTTCTCGGCGCATGCAGTTCACTCAAGAGAAGGGGAGCTTTTCCAAGGCATTGTCTGTGAGCAAAGTAACGCAGAAACGCTCGAAATGGCGGAAGCCGAAGTCGTAGCTGATGGTGTTGATACCTCCGGCAAAACGGTTTTGTATCTTGATTTCAACTCGCTGGTTACAGCTGCTGGGCAAGGTAATATGCAGAATGTTGTAATTGTAAACAGCGCTTCTGCCAACACCAACATGTCTAGCGTGCATAGTGCTAACATCACAAAAGTATACGATGTGCCCCTTGATCAAATAACGCGGCCTCTGCCTGTTGCGCACTACGACGAAGACAAGGTCAGAGGAATCGCAGAACTACTTGAGGTGAGTGGATTGAGAATTGCGTAATTGTAGTGCCATATGCACCTGTGTTACGTCCGTCATTTTATCATTGCTGGATCTTGAGCTTCTTAAGCAATGCTGTTCCACTTGAGTTAGAGCGTCAGCTGAAGGTGCTTTTGGCGAACCTTATAGTGTAGCCTCATAAATGTTACCTGTAATGAGTATAGTTACACCATACCGGCCATGAGTGCTTGGCAAATATAGGGTTGTGCAGCTTACTACTACAGCGTGGGTTCGAGTCTACAGTGATTTAGATGCACGTCAAAATATCCCCAAGTGCTCGCAATGGGTTCCTACTACGGCTGGCTTCGCATTCATACGGTACACAGAATTTCAGTTGGGTCATAGGAGACTGAAAATGTTGAAATGCTTAAATCGAAAGAGCTGGCCAAGCATACGCGTATCAGCCGTGGGGGGGGGGGGGGGCAAGGGGGGCGCCAGCATTTCCATTGTGCCCCCCCCCCCCACTGAGAAAAGTTGGGGGGCTTAGCCCCCCACCCCTTTCGACAGTGCTCACTGAGACTGCATGCACGCTGCGGAAACGAACAACTAGGACGAAGTTTTCGTTCAGCACAGTAATCACTCGGTTATATTGTTACGATGAAGTAAAATTAATTGGAGAGAACGTTGCAATATAGTGAAATTTTCCCAACATTTCTGGTGTGATGATTTTCCTTGAAGGCTTTTATGGGGTGCGGTTCACATATGTGACGCATTCCCGCCTGGTGCTCTGGCATTGCGGAGCAGGCTAGCCCTGGACCCGGGGCCCTCTATAGTTATATCACTTGGTCATGCTTTTATTCTGCTGTGACTGGCCAATGCAGTTATGGGTGGGAACAAACTAACTTTTGGTGGACAGGTTAAATCATTTGCTGCTTCAGAAAAACCATTTTCTTTGATCGAAAAGCAATAGCATCACGGCTGCTCTGTCGGAGCTGCAGTGAGATGGTGATTGTGACGAATATTTCTAAATGTTTTAGTTTTGTCGCAGTCTCCAATTAATCTGATCTGCCTTGCATATTGTGATTTGAAGCGATGCCGGCAGCTTGCAAGGTGGCGACGAATGAAGCAATGGACCCGAGCATAGTGGGAAACTCGGCTTTTAACTTGCCCCACAACGTGACCCACCCGGACCAAGGAGAAGGTGGAAAGCCGTGGTTTATAGCACTATAGATGCTTAATTAAGAGTCAGGTTCATTGCATCAAAGTGCGAGCACCGCAATGAATATAGATATTGTAAGAATGTATGAATATATATATTGTATATTTCAATATATCCAGTTGACGAGTGAGGTTAGCTTGCCTCCCCACTCGTGAAAGAGTTGGTACTCCATTGTGGCTAAATATTTTCCTTGTCCTAAGTGCAATCAAACTGCTTGAACGTGCAGTCAGCGCCAAATGACTAGCTACCATTAGTTGGGCTAACTGCATTGCAGGAAAGCTAGCTTTACATTTATGGAAAGAGTCTATTGCCTCTCTTGTAGTCCTTTCATTTTGTTTGACACGTTAAACCTAAATAATGAATTGGTCACATCATCCCAGTAGATAGCGAATAGAAAAGAAACGGGATAGGATGATGAAATTTATTGACTTCTATATACTTTTCACTTCCTCTGATACCAAGTAATCTGCATAATGAATTGCCGTATACTGTTATGTTTATCATTACTGCTGTTTTTTTGTTTTTTTTTTTAATCCAGAACCCAAACACGAAAGATCAAGTGGCACCTGTGGACATCCTCTGGATCAAGGGCCGTGATGGTGGCAACTACTACTACGCCTTCGGTGGCAACCACAGATTCGAGGCACACTACAGGCTTGGCCTCGCAACCATTCGGGCCAAGCTGATTCCATCAGTACCTGCATCACTTTTGCCGTACCTCGGAGGGTCAACGCCAGATCTCTAGTGATTATAGTGGTGCCCATTGTTGGACAGTCTCATGGTACAATAGGCATTTCATTAGCTACTAACCTCGAATAGTTCCTAATTGACATTGGTGACTCAGCCACTACTCCATTTGTACAAGAGAGAGAGAGAGAAATAATTAAAGAAGTGTAGGGAGATTAAAACCCTATACGTGGGTTTTTAAATATTTTTTATGCAGTTTAATATATTTTAGTATGTTTCTATGGAGCGGAAGAAGACATAAGCTCCGGAAATCTAGGGTGCGTGGTCTTCTAGTACATCAGCCTAGAAAGCCACACAAGCCCTTTTACAATTCTTGAGAGCAACATCACTGAGCGACTACCTGTGAAAGCCAGTGTCTTCATGGTGTGCAATGCCCATCTCCTCTTCTCTCTTTCATTTGTTCAAAGCTCACATTGACATAATCTGTGTGTTCAGCATCCAATGAATAAAAGATTTATATAAATGCAAAAATATCTATTTTCCTGTGTGCCCACTAGTATCATTTCGTGAGTATGTGGGCAAGTACTAAATGAAGTATTCAGATCTTCGTCTTTGGGTGTAATTCTGTTTATGGCACTTGCAATCCCAGAATTAATAATTTGCTTGATTAACTGGCTAGCTGTGACTGGTCTACCCTTTCACTTCAATTCTAGTTCTCTGCTCCTTGCTGTGCCCATCCATGTGCTGTTCGCTGCAGCTGTGTCAAGCTTCTCCCCATTTTTGCCTGGTTACACACCATTGGGGTGTTGGCATAAAATGTTCTCGGCCTTGGGATTAGCACTCTGCAACTTTTCCACAGTGCTCTGGCCGCCCTCTTCCTATTTCCACCAATTTGATTTGTGAATGTTAATTTTTAATTTTATAAATTTTGTGTAAGTTCAAAACAGGAAAGTGGAATGGGGTAGTCTTTGTTCTGACAGCTAATGGAACCTCAAAATGCTGTTCATGAAACGTGGTTTGTGATCCTTCCGCTTTGAAATGGTAGAAATGGAGGGCGGAAAGGTGGCAGGAAGTGGCTATGGGGCTCGACTGCAGACCCGAAGGTTACTGTTTAATCCAGGCCAAAGTCATTGCATTTAAAATACCTTTGTTACACAGGCAAGTTAAGCGCGGTCATGACTAACCACTGTTAATCGCATTGAATCGTGGTTAGCGCCATCCATGGTCACTGATGTTACAGCAGCACAAATGCGCCCTTTGTTAAAGTGGCCAAACCGCTCTCCATAAACGCCGTCATTTCCTTGGTTAATCACCAAACTTGGGTGGCAAAGCTCGGTTTTGTACAACTGCTGTTAGCGGCATAACCGTAGTTTCGCATACCGTGTGACATGAGTGAACCGCGGTTACATGCAAGCACGCTTACGTTAACTACAGTTTAGGCTACCTGTGTACGAGGTGAAATGGTAGAAGCCTTAGTACTCTGACATGTCAGTGCGTGGTAAAGAACACCAGATGGTCGAAATTCCTAAAGTCCCATTATGTTCTCATAATCACATTGTGGTTTAGGGACGTAAAGCCACTGATAATTATGAGGTGCTTAAGCCCCTCTTTGTCCCATGAAAGGGAAAAGAAACATGCTGCCTGCCCCAGTCTTCTGCATAATTCTGAGTGCATTATTTGTATGCAATATAGACTGCAGTCATACAGACTGTTGCACGCGAAAAAGCATAACTCATTTATAGGGCCAGTGTGCAACTCTGTTATCCAAAATTTCTGGAGAAATAATGGGAACATACTGTCACGAGATCCTTGCAAATAAGTGGTGTAATAGTTTAGTTGCAGGACATGAAACGCTCATTTCGAACCGGTTTCAGTTTCTCGTTCAGCCTCGCCAACCTTCTCTGCAGCGCAGGGGGGTAGGCATAGCTATTATCGTAACTACATCCACATTGGTGGGGTATAGGTTATGTCTGTGAGTAAGTCATCGGTGTGCAACGAAACGACTGAGCAAGATTTTCTTCAGATATTGCTCGTGTGGGAGCCTTGCAGTGAGGAAGCGAAGGGTTAGAAGTGAGGCATTCTTGAGGTAAACAATTAGAAACTGCATGGCCATCGCTTTGCAGGAGTAAAGGACTGGACAAGGGCTTTTGTGCTGTGCTCAGTGCTGTGATATTTGCAAAATGTGGTCGCTGTGGCCTCCTGAGGTTAGCGAGCTTGTTTGGGAGGTGCAAAATAAAAATTGGAGCCTGTGTACTGGCTCTTCAACCCCTTTCAAGTTTGAAACCATTACCTACCTTCCGTCCGTTCCAGTCTGAAACTGAAGAAAGCACAGTCTGAGTAAAAGTTCACTTACTCTTACTAAGTTCACTTCGAGATGGCGCAAAAAAATGCAGCGAGAAAACTCGTGCATAAACCAACCTGAAAGAACTCGAAGAGTGCCCAACCATGGCATGCTGCAGCCGTGTTGCTTTGTTGGGAGGGGCCCTACAAGCGACTGCGAAAAGATAGAAGTAAGAGAAACCGCGCAGTAGCCCTTAACGTTTTCTAGTTCTATGCTGTGTGTCTGTCATGAGATGCATTTAATTCTATAATAGTTCCATCTTGTCAGCATGTGCGCATCTGTTCTCTGTGATCGGTTATGTTCATTCCTTAAAATCGGGTTCCTCGGAAGTCTGATTTTGTGTTCTTAAATCATTGTATATTTACCTTCACACTCAACCAAAGCATGCTCACTAGTGTGAGCCATTAGTGTAGCTGTTCATGGCAGACTGAGCATGTGCCCCGGCCCACGGCCCCCTTTTTTCAGCACAAGGATGCGCCCTTCGGGCCCTCGTTTTTTTTAAGGCTTCATTTTCTGTTATTTCCAATGGGAGTGCACCTTAAAAGCTGTACAAAAATGCAAACTTTCTTGCTGCAGAGAAGCCAATCAGCTGATGCCGCTGTAAATAATTTCGGCCTTCTTCTTCCAAATACTTCCAAAGTCTGATCAGTATTCTGCAGCTGCAGCCTGAAACGAACCTTGATCCAGGTATTTCTCAAGTATGCTTCACTACAATATATTAGTGTATGTGTTGTGAAGAGGCCTCCTTGATTGCATTGTCGTCATCATTATCTTTCTCGGCCTGTGTTAGTCCACTGCAGGACGAACGATGATCTCCAGTTTACCCTATCCTGTGCGAGCTGATTCCATTTTATCTTGCAAACTTGAGAATTTTGTTACACCATCCAACTCGCGGCCTTCCCCGACCTGCATTTTCCATTCCCTTGGCGAACAATCTGTCGCTCTTACTGTACACTGGGTGTCTGTTCTACGCATTACTGTTGAGTCGACATGTTTAATACCATTTAAAACAATATAGTGGATATAACGAACAATAAGGGCATCATCCACTTTTCTATGCTTTCAATGGAAAAAAATAAACTGCTCATTATGTCACTCCAGGGTTGCTCGTTACGATGCTCCTGCGATATTGGGTATAGCGACTGAATACGGCCGCAGCATGCGCTGGAAATGGCTCTTTGTGTCGATGGCATGCACTTATATGTGCCCTGTACCCGGTCCATACTCCGAAAATGAGTCGACTGTGCCTCTAACGAGGAAGCGAGAGCTGAAGGAGCTTTCTTTCTGAACCTCTGAAGTGATGTCAGGAGAGGCCGGCAAAGCGCCCATCAACGAAAAGCTGTCAGAGTTGTCGGCGGTTGACGAAGATGTGTCATGGCTGGTTATTTCGTCGAGATGATATTGCTCAAACATCAGAGTGCCTTGTGATGAGGCGATCGATGACTCTGATGACGTGGCTGAGCAGCCTACTCGGGTACTCTCATTGCAAGAGGCCCAACGTATCATGCAGTCTCTCCGGGACTTTTTGTTCCCAAAGGGCCTCCCGCTCGGCTATGTGGAGCTTCTTGATGCTCCTGAGAAAGTTTGTGTGCATGCTTCGCTTGATGCAATCAAAGCTGACGGACTACGGCTTTTCTACAAACAAGTGCATAGTTGCCCTAACCGTACTTGGATGCAAATAGAATGTTTTCACCTCTTTCGTCTTTCTTTTATCAGCCCGCTTATAACAATGATTGCTTGTAACGATGGAACTTCAATGGCACTTGCATATCATTATAAGTGGACTGCACTGTACGTGACGAGCCCAGGTCTATTGTTTTCGCTTGATGTCAGCTAGGATATCTCAAACTTTAGTTAATTCTCTTACCCATTCTTCTGTCTTCTAATCTATCAATGTTATTCTTATGATTCTACGTTCCATTGCACGCTGCATGGTTCTTGGTTTTCTTTCTGGTTGTTTTATTATGCTCCATGATTCAGCCCCATACATCAGAATTTAGAAGTATGCACTGGTTATATACTTTTTGCTTTAATGATTGTGGCAAATTTGGTGACAATATGTCAGAGTTCCTTCCAAGTGTGCTGCAGCTCCTTCTTCAGTGAATTTCCGTTTTGTGATTAGGCTCTTCCATGAGTAGTCCTAGGTAGACATCCACGATGATAAAGCAGTGGTTGAGGTACTCGGCTGCTGACCCAACGGTCGCAGGTTTGATCCCTGTCAAGGTGGTCTCATTGCAATGGAGGTGAAATGGTAGAGGCCCGTGTATAGTGCGATGTCAGTGCATATTAAAGAACATCAGATCGTCAAAATTTCCAGAGCACCCTACTACAGCATCTCTCATAATCGTATTATGGTTTTGGGACGTAAAACCCCAAATATTGTCCTAGGTATGAATATTCGTGTGTACACTCCAATTCATAGTTTTTTTATCTTAATCTGTTTCACCAGGACATTCATCATTGCCTTGGTTTTCAACATATTCATTTTGAGAACTACCTTAATACTTTCTCGATTTAATTCCTCAATAATTTTTTGCAATTTGTTGCAGCTGTTACTGAAGAGCACAGTGTCGTCTGCAAATCGTAGGTTGTTACACTATTTTCAGTCAATCTTGACTCCCATTTCCTCCCAGTCTAGCGGTGTAAACACTTCCTCTAAGTACACAGTGAACAAGATTGGGGATTTCATTGCTTGTTGTCTTGCTCCTTTGCTGGTTGCAATTTTATCACTTTTCTTGTCAATAATTAAGGTAGCAGTGGAGTCTTTGTAGATGTTGGCTAAGGCATTGACATAGGATTTAGGTACTCCTTGTCGAGTTAATGCTTATAAAACTATATATCTACTGAGTTGAATGCCTTTTCGAAGTTTATGAACGCCAAGTAAAGAGACTTGTTGTATTTCGTAGCTTTTTTTATTACCTAGTTTATTGCACGAATGTGGTCCATTGTAGAGTAGCCTTATCTAAACTCAGCTTGTTTTTTTGGGTAGGTTGAAGTCAAGCGTTTCTCTTATCCTATTTGAGATTATTTTAGCAAATATTTTGTGTAGTATCCCCGAAGGCAAGCTCATGGGCCTATATTTTTTAAGTATTGGATGTCTCCTTATGAATTTGTATAATCTAGTAGGAAAAACAGCGCTTATATGAATCAGGACATGTGATGGCACAACAGTGGCGGTAAACTCGCAAAT